AATGATTGTTTATATACAAAAAAATCAATGTCATATTCTTCTTCTTCATCCTCTTTTATATTTAAAACAAAAATCTTTGGATCTTTCAATTATTTGCAAATTTTTTAAAACTTTATCTGGTTTAAAAAATAAAGAGGTAAATGAAATATTCATTTTATACATAATTCTTAATATATAATATTTTAATACAGTCATCATTACCATAACTGCTACATGATTTAGATTTTACTATTGGTCCCATCATTTGTTTGCCATTATCCTCGCTCTTATTTTTATCATCAAAGAAGCTAAATAATCTCTTTAATGTATTTCCAAATGATAGATCTGCTCCTTGTATGAATAATCTACTAAATCTTTGAGTAAAATTTACATCATTGATCATTTGTTTATTTGTATTCAATAAAATTCCTCTGCCTGCCCCTTCCTCTTCCACTATTCTTTTATTTTGATCATTATTTCTCTTTGATTTTTTCTTTGATAGCAATAATGATAATGATGTTGTCCTCAAGACAGTATATCCAATTCTTTTCAAATATGCATATACCTATGAAAGCAAACATAATAAATTTTAATTTTATAAACATAAATAAATCTTTTACAATTTTTTTGTTCTGATCTTTCTTCATCTGATACTTTTCAAAGCTTAGCCAATCACAAATCATTAAATTATAAGCCTGTTGCAATGAAATAGGTGTATTGTCATAATAAACAACTAATGATCCTCTTTCCAACAAAAATAATGTTTCTTCAGGAAGTAACCATTGTTGCCCTGAGATGGAGTGGCCCATATTATGAAAATGATTTCCTTTAATAGTTGTTACTAGTGCTTTATTTGTTGGAGTTGAATACCATGTTGCAATACAAAATTGCCGACTTTAACAATATATGTGAAAAGAGACAAATAAGTTTAATTGCAATCGGATATGCATTAATTATTATATGCAAGTATAATAGACAACCTTGATCCACTTCTCTCCTCACTCAAAACTTTATTCAAGGCATTTAATGATTCTTTTGTAAGTTGTTCTTGCCTTGATGATCCATTAGGTTTAAAATCTTTTGATCCTTTTTTTGGAATTCCATAATCATTATCTTCCTTATTATGTTTTCTATTATCATCATCTTTATCATTATTATCATTATCATTTTTTATTGATTAATTAATTTATTTATCAGTCATTTACATATTTCTCTTAACTTTACTTGCCGGTCTTTTTTAAATAATGTTGAAAAATCAATCTCTTCAATAAATTCTTCCTGTTTATCCATGTGGAAGTTACACGTGAGGTGGGGATCAATACTGTGTGAAACATTGAACGGTCAGTCAACTAACTGTATATATTATGAATTGATCACATGATTATGATCTGCAAATCCCTAATATAACGGTCTCTTTTTGCCAAAACGGAAGAACCGTTATAGAGAGAGTGCACTGCAATCACCAAAGTCAGCTTATTATTCCTCGTGTTATTCTTGTTCAATTGTTAATGGACGTGTATTATCATTTGATATGATTATAAAAAAAATCGTTTTTATGACGTGTAAAAAAAATTTGCACTTTTTATTAAAATTATCATGAGTGGTGTTACAAGTAGTCTAAAAATTTTTTTTTTGTTACGTGTATACGATTCATTTTAAATTCTTTAAAAAGTCTGCTTTATTTAA